ACTTTGTTTATTTGTCTCTTAGCTGAAAGCCAAAGAAGTGTTACTGAGTTATTTTTCTGTCATTGTTTCCACATAAATCCCTGTTGCTCAATCTTTTTTTGGTTGCTCTGCAGAGATCCCATGTGCAGATCAAAAAATGTGTTTTGATTGATCAGCTGTGGCTTCTTTCCCATGTAGAATCCATAGTGATCTAAAGATGGATAGCAGAATAAAAGACATTGTATTTCTTACCAAGATAGGTTTTTTTGACATTATTTGTATAAATGGTATTCCTCTTATTTCAGCTTGCATGGTTTATAATGACTTTTATTTCAACTTCCTGCCAGCTTTAAAAAGGTTGCTAAAAAGCTAATGTGAAGAAGCTGTAATCATATGTCCTCAAATTGAGGTGAAGTAATTGTCTGCAGCTGTTCTTTCTGCTCTTCTGCTTAGACATTACACAAGGTGAGGTTTTAGTTTAAACATCTTTCATCAGGGTACCTAAGTTTGGGTTGAACCTTGTGGAGATTGTTTTTATTTTGTAATGCCTTCAGGGAAGGGAAATTTCTTCCTGAACTAATTAGAGTTTCTTGAGGAAATCTTGCCATGCATTTGTATACAATCTTTTAATACCAATTTAAAGTCAAAAGATACTTGAAATATTCTATTCTGCTTCTGTCTCGGGATTCTGTGTGTGTGCTAGCTCATGCTGGATAACCTTCTGAAGAAAAACCATCTGCAGTGATCACTTGTCATTCTAGGACTTGGGTGGCTTTTCTGCAGGATTTATTAAGTGTACAATTTATCCCCACAGAGAAAATCAGATACATTCATTTAAGGGATTAAGCAGAATCACCCTTAAGCAAATCACCCTTTTTTTAAAGAGCTATAATGTCTATACATAATTTTAGCTTTATTTTTTGACAAATCAGGTTTGGATCATGCATCAGCTGTTCTTTCCATGCTAAGTAAAGCTGAATGTTAAGATTTTGTTTGCTACAGATGTTTGCTGTGTCCCTTGTGCTGGTGGGAATAAAATTATTAAAAGTCTTGTGGATAGAGACACACTATCATAAGAAGCTCCTGGGAAAGCTTTGTGGTGAAGTCTTGTGCAATCATACTTGGGAGAGCAATGTTATAGCAGCTTGGGGTAAAAGAGTCTTGGGGTTTTAGGAAGGAGATCAACTTGTATTCAGAATACCTGCAGAAAGCTTTTGGTTATATGGGCTCACTCATTATGTTGATGATTATTTTACAGTGAAGATTATAACTTACTATGCTTGGGACCATTTAAATGTCTTTGTGGTTAAAGTACCTCCATCTTTCTTCCAAAATGCCATAAAGAAAGATTATAGAACTGATTATTTTGGTTCATTCTGTACATATAATCACTTATCTTTAAAACCTACGGTTGAAAAGTTGGTTTGGTGTAAATTCTGAGGTGAATGAACAAACAGTTATGTGTCAAAAATGAACTTTGCAGTTTATTTACTCTCCAACACTTACTTCATACCACTTTACAGCTAGTCCCATACATATTAACCTTTTAATGGCACAGTATGGTACTAGACCCACCTGTAAAGAAACTGTTTTTATTCTGGAGAACGTTTTTAGTCTTTATTATCACTTTTTTTTTGCATGGGCCTCTTAGTAGTTCTTAAGGAGTTTTTGTTTGTCTTTTTTTTAATATAAAATGCATGGGCCTCTTAGTAGTTCTTAAGGAGTTTTTGTTTGTCTTTTTTTTTTTAATATAAACATTTGTTTCAGCTCTCTCTGAAAAGAAGACACTTTTAAGTTCCCAGCAGGACTGAGGAATCCTTCATAGTGCTGTAATACAAGATAATGTGTCCTGCAGAACACTTGACTTCATTCTTGTGTGATACTGGAGCTGTCTTGCATTGATATCCATCATTCAGTGGCAACACAGAAACAAATCCATGGGGTTTTCCCATAGAGACCATAAGTGCCATGGCAGATCATTGGCGTTTAATTGCTTTCATTTGTCATGTATAAGATATTTAATAAGGAATCTTGGTCCAGATCATCAGATAGGACCACAAAGATGACTAAGGAAATGGAGGATCTCACATACATGGAGAAGCTGAGAGGGATGGGACCATTCAGCCTGGAAGAGAGAAGGTTCATGAGCAATCTTATCCTAGTTTCTAAATGCTTGATGGGAGGGAATAATGAAGAGGGAGTCAGATTCTTCTCAGTAGTGCCAGCTGGCTGGGTGAGAAGCAATGGGTACACATTAAAAACCATGAAATTCTGATTGAACACAAGACTTTTTATTTTATTTTTTTAGAATACTGGTCAAACACTAGCACATGTTTCCTTTAGAGACTGTGTAGTTCCATCTGTGGAGTTACTCAAAACCTGGCTGGACAACCCATCCTGTTGCCCTGGGCACTCTGCTGCAGGAGGGCTGGACTAGATCTGAGGAGGTCACATCCATCCTCAGCTACGTGTATAGGCCATACGTGTTACATATTTTTTTCAACAGGATTCTAAGTAGAAATCCAACTTGAGCCTCAAATACCCTTGGACCAAAATAGTTCTTCTTGCATTCCAGAGTTATAACATTCCATGGGAACAGTATGATTTTTTCAGTTTCTCCAAATCAGTGTCTTTCCACATAGGGAGCAAGAGTCACTGTCTCCACATGCTAGCATAATCAAGACCCTGTTTTACATAGCACTACCTGTCTAAAATACAGAAACAAGTTATGTACTAGTTAAGTTTCCTGATACATCACAGTGTAAAATCAGCTGTTCAGTTGCTTAAAATGTCTTGTTCAGGCTAAATTTTTTTAATCCTTTGTCTCTATATTCTACCTTTCTTCTATTTCATCCTTTTTTAAACTCAGTTTTGGTGTAGTGAAAACTACAATTGGAGCAATTTAGCTTTTTCCTGAAACTGGGGGAAAAGAGTAATTTGCCCCGTGTCTTTATTACTTCAAGCAGGTTGTCAGGAAAATTGACTGAGCCTTTAGGCACGTATGTTTTCCAGAGATTGTGTCTGGTATCTAGAGTGACTTTTCCTATCATTGCACATCTGCTGTGGGTTTTGCTGGGTTCAGTGGCTTTAGATGAGTTCCTAAAAGTTTCTTGTGTGTTGTCCCTAATGCTTTTGCTGGCCCAGATAGCTGGAGCTGCTTGCTTCAATGCAGGAGCATTGTGTGAGGGCAGTGGCAGTGTAAACTAGGACAAGAATCGCTCTGGCTCTAAGGTCTCCTGGCAGTGAGATACAAACATGGAAAAGGAAGGGATTCTTTATTTTTACTTCTACAGATGATGGGAAAGAAAGACTAAGCTGCTGCTCCTGCCTCTTTTAGCTGTCGCCTTGGTCTGTGCGTGTGCATGGGGATTGTGACAACCAATGGCACATGGCTGAAGCCAGGAGCACAGGGTCTGAAACCGAAAAATGTAGAAATGTTATCTCTGCTTTCCTAAAAGAAAGAGAGGGTGCTTTTTGATGGGAAATTTAACAAATTTGAGGCGTTAGGCTATGACTGAGGGTACGGTGCCCCTGAAGAAGGGCACCCACATGCATTTAGGAGTGCAAAACAATAGCATGCTCTGCTCCAGTGGCTTTGGATCTTTTTTCCTGGTTATCACTTGAGAACTTCATCATGGGGTTTGGTGGGTGATTAGAAGAAGCCTTCTTGATGCTAATGCAAGCAATTGTGAAACACCTAATCTCCTCCATAGGATCAGGGCAGATGCCACTGAACCTCAGGACTTTGTGTCTCACTGATGAAGCCCAGCAAGAGGGTGAAAAACTCTTAAGCTAATCATCAGACATGTTGTCTATTTTAAACAGGTTTTCTAAAGAAAGAGGCTTCAGTGAGCTGTGTTTGGCTTTTTAACCCATCAGTGCTTTTTAACCCAAATTTAGCAGGGCCATGAGATAAAAAATGTGAAATTTTGATTTTCATGAAAATCAGTATCTGGTTTTGAAATGGACCAGCCCCATACTGAGGAAGGAGCTATGTTGAGGTCAGCAGGCAAGTTCCAGTCTTATCTCTACATGCATAAATGGCTGAGCAGGATACATATGGTAGAATTTGCCTGAGCAACTGCTGCTCCTTGCCTTGGCTTTATGCACAGGAGCTGTTTGTGTTTGGGAAGGGGAGGATGCAAGGAAGTAGGTCACATTCAAAGAAATAGGCTTTTTTTTTCCTCTGCTCTTTCGGAAACGTCTTGTGGGAAGTGTATCCTCTGTTTCACAAGAAATGTCTGAGGCAGGCAGCTTGATGATGCCTAGTTATCAGAACACAAATGTCTTTGCTTATTCTCTCCCACTAAAGGACTCCTCTCACTGCCTCAACTTGTTCTGCAGCTGTAGAAGAGTTTTACTCTCAGGTTTTCATTTTAGTCAGTCCCTTTAGGATGTTGTAGGTTTAGAAAGATAGTTGATATGGAATATGTAAGTTTGAAGACCTGTATTTTCTTTCCAGTCACAAACTGAAGAGCTACTTGAAATACTTTGAAATGCCTACTGAATTATTTTTTATTATTTTAATGTGTCATGCAAATCTGACAGGAGGATAGGAAAGCTGTATAACCTGGAGAGTTTATAGCACTTTGTTTCAGTAAACCAACAAACCAGCCAGCCTGAACCCCCTCATTATCGTCAAATAACTTCTCTGTAGCTGCTCAGCACACGCTTAGCTGTGTATGTTTGTTCGGGAGAATATCACAGCCCGTATTTATAATACACATTGTAATATACATCTCGTGGGAAGGTGTGGAAGGGGAAGTTGAAATGGCTCTTTGCTGATGATAAAATCAAAACAAAACCAACTGTCGATTCCCTCGCCAGCCAGCTTGCTGGGACATTTTTATAATTCTTTTACTCTGTTGTTGGAGGACTCCAATTAGCCTCAAACTGGAGATCGCAGCCTGTGTGTGAAACAGGCAGCTGCTGGCACGCAACGCTCCCTGAAGTTGTTTCCTTTCCTTTTTCCTGAGATTTAGCGAAGGGGGGGAAGGGGTTGGAGTCACATGGATACAAAGCTTTTGATTAATGTCCAAGTCTCTGCTGCTGCGGAGGCTTTCCAACCTCTCAGCTAGCAGGGCGAGCTGGGAACCAGTGACCGCTCGCTTCCTCCAGGCTGTGTCCCCTTCCTGACGGGAAAGGAGCGCTCTCTGGGGCGGCTCGTCGCCTGCGGAGCTCGGGCGGCGCGGAGCGGGGTGAGGGGCTGGGGAGCGGCCGGAGCCCGGCCCCGCCGTGTAACTTGGCGGGGTCTTTGTTGTCCTTGTCCGCAGCGCAGCGCCGGGGGAAGGCGCCGGGCTGGGAGCACCGAGCCTCCTCGCTGCACCATGACAGAAGAAAGCAAGGGGGAAGGCAAGGGGGAGAGCGGGAAGGACTTGGAGAAGCAGCTTCGCTTACGCGTGTGCGTCCTGAACGAGCTGCTCAAGACGGAGCGGGACTACGTGGGCACGCTGGAGTTCCTGGTGTCGGTGAGCGGCGGCGCCGGGCCCGCGGCCGGGGTTTGCCCCCAGCTTTGGCGTGAAAGGGAGGGAGAGTAACAGGTTTTGAGACAGCCGAAGAGGGGCTGTGCGGTCCTCCCTCCCCGCTCTCCCTTCCCAATTCTCCGGCCGCGCTTTGGCGCTGATGATCTCCTGTCTCCGCGGGTGGGGTGATGGGTTTGGGTCCCCCCAAACCTAACGGGTGAGGGGGCTTGTGTTCATTTCAGTGTATTCCACCACTTGCGACAGTCCTGGAAGCCCAGCGGTGCAGGGGGGAGGGAGCAGGACGGAGGGGGTGCTGGTGTGCAGCAGCAGCTGCTTGGCATTAAAGCCACATGTGGCATTCACTCCGTCTTGTGATAGCGGGTCAGCTGGGAAGGTGGTGCGTTCTGCTGAGCTGTGGTGTGGCACTTCGAGCTTCCTTCTACATTTGACTGTCACTGTTGGTAGGATTGTTGGTGCCGGGTAGTACCCTAGTCGGAAAGGCAGGAGTTCTCACTCTCTCAAAAAGCCAAAGGGACAAATTATTGCAGAACAGATGTGGCCAGTGTTTCATTTGTGCCTGATCTTGGTAGCATCACTTTAGGGCTCTGATGTGATAAATATGTCCAAATCAGCTGCTTCAGATTGCAGAAATATTCACAGTAGCCCCATCCTACATTTCTCTCCTCCTGTCCCATTGAAGAGGGGAAATCCTTCCAACTGCAAACTTCCTGCTTTGCTGCCTTGAGAATTGTGGACTTTCTGCTTATTACCATGAAAGAGGAAATTCTTAAGTTGGCTGTGACAGGGAGAATAAAAGCACAGACATTGGAGTGAAATAAGATCTACAGAGTAGCTTATTTTCTCCATATGTTTATCCTCAGCAGCACCATGAAAAATGGTAAATGGTCCAATGTGTTGGGGTTGTTTCTTTTTTTTTTTAAAGTTTAGGATGTATGTTTGAAAAAGAGACTGTGCAATTATTTTACTTGCTTCCATTTAATGGTCAGGTTTTACCTACTTTTAAATAAACTCTTCTAAGGCAATGTTCTTTCATATTTTACCTTAACCCACAAATTTGGTGCATGCCAGAGTCTTGGATTTCAGCAAATCTGAAGGATTTGTAGTATCTTTAATTTTGAATTCTGAGGTTTTAGACATAAGATATCTGAGTTCAAGCAGTAAGTGCTGAAATTCTCTTAAGGATCAGAATCTTTAAGTGTTTCAAGTTCTATCCAGACACTGAATTCAATAATAAGCCCTTTTGCAGTTTGGATCAAGATGATCTAAATAAATCATGTGGAGAACGGGAGAAGGGTTGGTGTTAAATACTTGGTTCTACATCAACTTTTCTGATTCATTAACGATTGTGGACAGGGTTCAAGTGACTGTTCAGAGATGTAAATCCTTCACAGAGAAATGTCACCTGTTCTAATTGTACCTCAGTTTTGTTTGAGGAAGCAACTTCTGAGCTTTCCTTTGGTCAGCCTGCTAGGACTGCTGTTGAGCTCAGCTGTGGTGGTGGATTTACGAGGGCCACTGGACCAGGGCCAGTATAGAGACCATGACACTGATTTTACATAAGCCATCAAAACCATCATTGCCTGAGGGGTTTATGTTCCAGTCAATGTTAGCAGTTGGGCTTCCAGGTCATCTCGGTGTCGTCAGTGGAGCTCATTGTGGTGGAAACCATGTTTCCTTTATGACTGAGATGCTGAAGCCAGTTTCAGGCTCTCTGAGAATTTTCTCAGAATACCTGCAGTTTTCACTGTAGTTAATAGGAAAGAGGGTGTTCACTTAGATAAATGAAGAAAACCCTGTGCATGGCTAGAGAATGAAGAGGTTATAAGGAGGAAGTGACTTGCTGGTCTGTGTCAACATGGGAAATGCTTTGCTGGTTTCCCTACACTGGAAACATACCTACTGTATGCTAGATTTATTTAGGTTCTTTTGTTTATGTTGGAATTAAAGAGTATTGCTCAGAACAGATTTCTGCTTTGTTATTTAAAGTCTTTATTTCCCCTCCTGCTGTAGGATTGCTCATCCTCCACTTATCAGTGTAGTGAGAAGTAGCTTGGTTTGCATGTTCTGTCAAAAGTCTGTAACACTGTAAGGTGCATAGCAGAAGATTTGATATACTTGTAACTTTATTAGATAGAAGTAGCTGAGTAGTCATTCCCACGTGAATTCATTCACCTCTTCTTTTTTGGCTTTGTGCTGTGTAAATACAGTATATTGTTTTACATCTGCATTCATCACAAAACAAATCTGAGTGAACAGGTCTGGTTGTGTCACTATTACTCTTTTATATCTCCTGAATCTTCCAGTAATAACCTGTAGTAGGGTTGAGATTTCAGTGATACAGAGCAGTAACAATTTTGGGCCAATTGCAGTGAGATGTGTAAACACATGTGAGGTGGATAAACTTACGTCACCCACTAGTTGCAGCAATGTTGGAGACAAGAGGCATGCACAGGAAATTATGAATAAATGCTTATACTTTTCCTTCAGATGTTTCATTGTAGCATTTAGAGTGTCATTGCAATACCAGAGTTTTTGTTCCTTCTAACATTTCTTAAAAGTAACATGTGATGGAAGAATTTACTTAAGACACTAAAACACCTTTTAAAACTATATCTGTAGATGAGGGTTTTTATTTTTATTAAGCTACAATATTAAGTTTCTGTTAGGAACAATTGGTACTTTATTGGCTAAATGAGCAATTGGACTTTTTCTGCTTCTGGGTGTTCTTGCTGGTGATCATACCACTTTCCTGTGGCAAAATCCTTGCTTTCCAATGAAAGAGAAGCTTTACTTCTCTTCTATTGTGAAACAATAGAGGAAAATCTTTCTTTCTTGTCAAAATGCACTTTCTGGAGGGGATGGAAAGCAACACTTGGTAAATATTTGCACCATCTAAAATAATTCCATGTCATCCAACTGTGTGACTGAATAATTAATAATTACCTTGGGTATTTATGATAAAGATGCTTAAAAACAATTGTGACATTATCAATATCCTTAATACAATTACCTTATCTCCTTCACTCTGTAGCAAATGACCAAATATCTATATTTGCTGTGATCTGTGTAAACATAAATAATAATTACCTTGGGTATTTATGATAAAGATGCTTAAAAACAATTGTGACATTATCAATATCCTTAATATAATTACCTTATCTCCTTCATTCTATATTTACTGTGATCTATGTAAACATAAGGAAAATTTCCTATGTTGCCCTTTAAGCACAATCAGCCTGGAGAAAAGGAGACTGACGAGGGAAAGCTTTATCACTCTTTACAAGTACCTGAAAGGAAGCTGTAGTGAGGTAAGAATCAGTCTTTTTTCCCCAGCTGACAAGTGCCAGGACAAGAGGAAATGGCCCCAGGCTACGCTAGGGGAGGTGTGGATTGGATATTAGGGAAAATTGATTCACTGGATGGGTGTTCAGGAATTGGAATAGGCTGCCCAGGGAAGTGGTGGAATCGCCATCCCTGGAGGTGTTCAGAAAACATGCAGATGTGGCACCTGGGGACGTGGTTTAGTGGAGAATATGGCAGTGCGGGGTTACTGGTTGAACCTGATGGTCTTGGAGGTCTTTTCCAACATTAATGATTCTATTCTAGAATCATTAGCTAGCTAAATAGAGCAAAACAGCATAAACTTCTCTAAGATTCATTGGTCTGTGATTTTATGCTGGGGAACATATGATTTTTAATGAGAATTTAAAAAAAAAGTTAGGGTTTTTTTTTGTAATTTCCTGAATGTTTTCATGAGGGGTTTCATTTACTGTGTAATCAGGGTACTCACTTGAATCCTCAGCATAGCAGTAGTAAAGAGACCACTAAAACTGTGGGGCGAAGTTGATGAGACATTATAAGTATTTAATAGTAAAGAGTTGCTAAAAAGTGGCTAGTTTAATTTGTCACCTTATTACCTGATAGGGCTTAGTTTTTATGTTTGTGATTTACACTAATTGACTGTCCACTAAATGTAAACCAGGCCATAAAGAATTTTAGTATGCATGTACATATATGCATATACATATATAAAATGTACATGTATAATTTTTGGAAAGAAACTTTATTTTGGAATAGAAATTGGAAATGTAATTGATCTGCTACACTTGGTACTTCAGGGGATATCCATGGAAGTGGAGTTGAATTTCCTATGGCAGAGGTTGTTTCTCTGGCACAGTTTTGTGTTCTGACAAATTTGACGTTGATGGGAATAGAAGCAGATGTTGGCACTCCTGTAAGCCTTCCCCACGGCCTCAGCTGGGGTGGCTAGTTAGATCTTGAAGCAGCTGGGGAAAAAAAACAAAGCTAGTTTATTATGTAGACTGTAGTATGGTTTACAGAGTCTCTCACTGAATATATATGTTTCTGCCAGTTCGCTCTCAAGTATCAGCTTGGTTTTATTACATCCTACTGTACTGTCTTCTGCTTGCACTAAAGTGAAAAAATGGTTAGTTTTCTTTAAATGTGCCCTGTTAAGGGAAGCTGAATCCTTGCTTTTCAATTGGTATAACGAGATATTGTTTCTAAAGTTTATAGTGCAGCTTTTTCAGTGTCTGTGTGACTCCTCGGCTTCTTTTTTCCCTTGCTGAACATTCCCTGTCTCTTGGCTCAATACATATTTCTCTGATTATTGAGCAGACTAATTATTTGGAGAAGTGATTACAGTAATTGAGACTTCAGGTAACCTTTATAGTCAAATTCAGTGTTACTAACCCTGGCTAGCAATAGAGGCTTTATGTACCAGATGAAAACTCCTCCAGTAGTTATGCTATATAATGAAATTAGATGTTGGACTTTCCACAAGAAAAGAACAATTTATAAATGATCTTCTATGGCTGTGGTTTGATACAAAAACAGTGTGTCTGTGTGTGTTGTTTTGAGTCCATGTGTGTATATGTCAGGGAATACCTTAACTTAGAAGGGTCCCATAAGGATCATCTAGTCCCACTCACTGAATATGTTATATGTATATCTCAATTACAGTG